ACATCGTTGGATCAAAGGGCGAAGAAAAAGGCCAACAAAGAAAAAAGTCTTCAATTTGGATCCGCCAAACATGGTTAGAGTACAAGACAGTTCATGAAATGTCACAATCTTGATCTGCGATTGATCTGAAAATGCCAATTACAATGATGAACTCTTCCGGATGACTATCAAAAGTATTCTACATAATTGGCCGTGGCCAATTGCGCAAAACATTGCATCGCACGACACAAATGAGTCATAGAGTGAGAAGTGCACACCTACAGCCTACATGAATCATTTTTTTGCATCTGAACGATGAACAAATTTGAATGCCTGAACTAATTATATTCATTAAGTTTAAACTGATGTTAAGAGGTATTACAAGGAACAAGACTTAGTGGATACAAGTTCCCACCATTGGTGTCGTATTGGCAATATATACTGTTTTATCAAAGACTTGAAAATCGACCGTCGGTCGATCCATTATATAGCGTACTAAGACTAAACGGGTCGAATCAAACGGATTTGAACGATTGAACGAACTAAACAGGTCAAATCGAACGGATTTGAACGATTGAACAAACTAAATGGGTCGAATCAAACGGATCTGAAGAAATTCAAGATTCAAACGAGAACTTTTTTTTGGGATAGGTTAACTAGTCCGAAAGAGATTTGGAACCGGTTGACCGATCCTGATAGGTCCGGACCGGACCTTGGCCAAGCCTAGTTGTCAGACTTGTTGTTTGATTATCCCATTGACGTTATTTCACTTTGAGATTGCTCACGTCCCTAGTTGTAGATTGGCTTTTGATTGTTTCAAGCGAGTTATAATATTTAGATTTTTTACTCATAATTTTGCATTTTTTTTGTTTAACATATTTTTAATATAAACACTTTCTAGTGATTAAAATTTAATTCATATGCTATCATTCAAACTTCACAAATAATTCTCAACCTTCTTTATTGTGGTGTCAAAACTTCTCACAATGTTCATATGGCAAAATCTTTCAAAATAAATTATTTGGCCAAGAAATGTAACAAAGTGCACTTTGCTTGTCACGAAGTAACTTTTAAACTATAATTTTTCAATCTGTACTACTATCAACAACAAATTTCATGTTACCATGAAGTGTTATTCAAAACTTACGTTAGAGTAATTTTATTCAAAAACCTTTTACTAATAAATCATCGCAATGTTGCAATTTAAAAATATATTTAGATCATAGATTTTTCAATAGAAATTACAGTTTCATCAAAAAACTCATGACACTTTTGAAATCATTAAGCACACGACTAGATTTTTTTTCTCCCTAATGTTAGTATATCATAAAAATAATATATACTTTTAAAATTTATTTTTGAAAAATTTACGCGTCTTTCATACTATTAAGTTTTAATTTTCATTATCATCTTAAAAATTTATACCAAATAGATTATGAAAACTACAAAAAATCTCATGAAAGTTGTTATAAGGCTTAAATAGGTCCAAATCTTATAAATGAAATTTGAACTATGAATATTTTGATCTATAATAAAACTAATACAATTACTTGATTTAGGATTTACTACGTCTATGTACAATAGATTGCACCGACTACATTGGATGTTAGGGCATGACGCACTATCTTGCAAATGCGAAAGATGTTAACTTTTGAAGTTCTCATGTTGGAGTATTGTGATAATGTTGTTAGGAAAGATTATGTGAACAATTGTGCGTCATGCCACCTCCCTAATGTGGATGATTCTATGTATCCAAGCTTGGCTTGAGGTGAATGTTATGTGGATTAGCAAGTTATGCGGCTTGTATTTTGGTGTGTGATAGCTGTTTTTGGGTATGACACATGTCGTGCTTGACTCCATCTATTTATGTAGTTTTGGTTGGATGATGGATTTGTCTCTGATGTCCTTCAAAGGGCTAGATGACTTGATTTTCACATGTTATGGATTGTAGAAAGACGACTTACAATGGAGCTACATAACATCCAATCTATTGGTTCACGCAATCATGAAGATTTATAGCATGTAGTTGTAGATAAGTCTACTTGGGAGTTGACAAGACCTGACAGTCATGGGGCAAGGATTTGTGCTACACTTGTTTTTGTGTATGTTCTTGTTTATAATTCGTGTTTAGGTAGATATGATATATTAGCGATGTGTGTTGTATGACGATACGTATTCGCACGACATTTATTATAACATAAATTTTAAAATAAATTAGGCTTTGAATTTTTTTTTAAAATTTTGACTATATGTGTGCATACTTGTCAAAGCTATTGGATCATATGATTGATTTAAAATATCAAATCTACTAAAATACATGAATCAATACGATATTTATTTTGAAGAATATTGTATCACTTTTAAGATTATTTCTACAATTTTCTGTTTGGACACAATACTAGTTGCAGTCACGTTGTGGAATTCGGAATGATTATATAGTACATATATCATCATATAGTTTTAAAAGTATGTGAATGCATGGATTTCATCATTTGTTTAAGAGAGAAATACAAATGAGGGAGCAAGTTTTAGTCAACAACTTTGTATTCATGGAATAATGTTATGTTGGACAAACAAATGATTATTTTAATTTGTTTGCAAGAGAAGTACAAATGACGGAGCAAAATATAGTCTACAACTTTGTATTCATGGAATAATGTTATGTTGGACAAACAAATGATTCTTTCAATTTGTTCATCATATTACAATTGCAAGGATGATTTCAGATGTGCAAATGTCATCCAAGTTGTCATGTCATGATCACGTAACATGCTACGTGCCCATAACAATTAGCCGGCTAGCAGACTAGCTGGTTAAATTTTGGTTAACTGATTAGCCGATACAAATGATTAGCCAGCTAGGGCTTCAAATTTAGCTGACTAGCCGTTGCCTAAGAAACTATAATGGGAAGACAACGAGGGTATCTACGGATTTGCAAAAAGTTGACAGTGACCGTCAAACTTGGTGTCAATTTAGACAATAAATAACACATATACTGTGTGTGCCATATCATGGATCGTGCAATAACTGATAGTGAAGCAATCATCAAATCCAAGATGGAAAAACTTCGCTCAATGCTGAAGACAACACGCTTATTTTCTCGATTGCAAGCGGACTTCAAGAAGTGTCCAAGTTCTTCTAAGAACGCAAGAACACAAGATTAGAAAAGTCCTTTGATCCTGATGTTAAAATGCCGGTGGATGTTTATAATGACTGATTCGTCCTACATGCTAACGGAGTATTTCCAATCTTTGTGAAACATTACCGAACATTAACCTAAAATTGTAACTTTGAGCTTGATTGAATGGAGTGTAGTGAATTATTTCAAAAATTTCCTTGCTCCCGTTTATGAAATGACCATACTATTTAGAAAAAGATATCAACGTTATCAAATCAAACTCTGATTTATGGATAGTTCAAGTAACATTGTCAAAAAACCATTAATGATAAGATGTTCAATGAAATAAATAAAAAAACTCTATGACCCGTCAAGACAATAACTAGCCGGCTGGCCAAGCCGTGAACATACCTACATTCAAGGAGGATTGCACAAATAACGAGAGTACATTAGCATAGTAACATAGGTAGTTGACTTGTGAAAAACACATAAAGCTGCGCTTAGCCCTTTCCTGTTATGCGTTGCCAAGTACATCACGATGGGCATACAAAGCTTACAGAAATGACATCGTTGCGCTCCATTCTCCATGAGAGAGTAGTCTTATAATAAGCCAAAAGAACAAGTAGTTAGAAGCTGGGTTACGTTGGTTTAGCGGGTCGACGAAACGTGCACTGCTCGGTGCAGCACATCTGTTTACAAACTGGGCCGGCCATGGGCGTGGCGCTTGACACAGACGATCGGAAGTAAGAAAAGAAGCCATATTCAAGATAGGCGTGCTGGTGAAGGAGGCGAGGCACATGTGGAGCATCGGGAAGAGTAAACTGAGGTCTTGGGCATCTACCGGCAGAAGCGGAAGTTCCAGTGATATTTCGCCCGAACACATGCACCGGGGAAATTCCAAGAAGAGCAAGCGATCTTTTCGACTCGAAAGCAGCCGCGGACCTGCGAGGGTGCTCTGGGAACGGAAGGGGGAGATTCTCGACCGTAGACGCGGGTAAAACTCGAGGACGCTACAGAGAGACATGAACAAGTGGGGAATTCGGTAGCACACACTCGTCGAGGAGAGGATGACATGTGGAAGCCGCAGGCGAATCAGAGGAAGCTCGGTCCACATAAGCCAATACTTGGCGAATACGGTAGCCAGAGCTGGGTCGGGGCAGTGATCACCCGAACGAGGTGGGGGAACGGAAAGAAGGACAGGAGGACGTCCCAGGCAGTGATGCACTGAGGGAGGGAGGGCCCCGGGCGAGCAAGGGAGAAAAAGGCTAGCCGGATGTGTAAATGAACTCGAAGATTCGATTCGCAGGCACGCAGGCACGCGGGAGGGAGGGCGGGCGGGCTGGCAGGCAGGCTCTTCCTGAGGGAAGATGGCTCGCTTGAAAGGTTGGCAGGCAGACTGAAGGGCGGTTGACGTGTGGTTAGGCGGAGCAGACCGGTGGTTCGGTGGGCCCCACGGCAGGATCTGGTGGTGCGAGGCCATTCATTCATCGGTCAGGCAGCGTCCCTTAAGGGCCGCGGGTCGTATGTGTTGTGTGGAGAGGGAGAGGAACAAGCGGGCAGCCCGCCCGCCCGAGGAAGTGAGTTCAAGCCGAGCCAAGCAACGAGACGCGAAGGTGCCCGCGATAAATAAAGTAAGAACGCACCATGCCAACGGCGGATGATGCTCTCGCGGCAGGCAAGGCAGAGGAAAGCGAGCAGAGCACAGACGACTGACGGACAGACGACCGGAAAGGCGGCCGGACGGCCGGATAGCCTCTGGCTGGAGCATACAAATCGAGGGCGAATATGCACGAATGGGCCAATGCGGCAGGAGGTGGGGGGTCTCCGAGAAGGGCGCAGGATTTTGCTGTCTGAGAATATAAACTTAATATTCCTCTGATGACAGACGCAGACGCACAGAGAGAGAGAGAGAGAGAGGGAGAGAGACAGAGAGAGGGAGGGAGAGCGCAGCGTGCAGTCATCTCCATGTGTGTCATTGACGGGCTCGGATTCCAGGGCCCCAAGCGCGCAAGGGTTGGGAGACCTGGGGACAGGTGGTGCAGGAGTGCAGAGCAAAGGGGAGAATGCGTCGCAGCACCGGTTGGGGGTTGGGTTGGTCGTTTGTTGTTGGTCGGTTCATGTGATTGATTGCTTGGAGAGAGACGAGACGACGAGCAGCGCATAGTCGAGAGTTGGCGCGGTGGTGATCTGCGAGAAGCGAGAGCATCGTCCCGGGAGGCCGGAGGAGCCTTGACGCCCGCACGGACAGAAGCAGCCGGGCGCGCGTGCGTGCGTGGGTTCGGACGGTGGAGGCCTTGGAGGCAGCGTGGCCCGCAGGGCGATGGAAATCGCACAGAGTCGCGGAGGCCGAGATCTGAGAACGAGGCAGGCTTCGTAGACGCGGAGGATTTTGATCTGCGCCAGCGGGTCTCGCATTCTTGGCGTGCCTGATTGCGTGCGAGGCGAGGCGATGCGCGGGCGCAGCGCGACCGAAGGCTGGACGACCGCCTGAGCGCCAGCTGCGTTGCTCGTGCGTCGCGCGCGTGAGTGCAGGCCAGGCCAGGCCAGGCGCGGAGGAGCGTCGCAGATTTCAACATGAATTATCAGTCGAGGAAGATGATGAATGGTGGTTCGCACAACGAGCGTTGCATTCTGGTGACAGGGGGCGCGGGGTACATTGGTAGTCACACAGCATTGCAGCTTTTGTTGGAGGGGTACAAAGTGGTGATTATCGACAATCTTGACAATTCTGAAGAGGAGGCCGTCAAGAGGGTTGTAGAACTCGCCGGCCCCAAAAATGGGCTCAATCTCTACTTCTACAAGGTTAACGTCGTGACCCTTTCCCAATGCAAGCTCTCTGCTGTGGTCTGCTGGTCCGAGTTGCGGCCGCAATGTGGGTGTGAGCTCTACCGCCGGTGGCACGTCGTAGCTCTGTTTGTTTCGACCTAGATGCCAGATCTGAGTGTTCGCCCGGCATTGCTGCACGTGGAACAAATGCGCGGGGGTTCTATGCCTGCCACATTTCGAGATCTACTTAGCCTTAATGGGCCTCGGCCTCTATGGACGACTGCGGGTTCGATTTGCCCAATATCCGAGGCTTTCGTAACCGGGAATCTTTCTGGATTACTCACAGTGTTGCACAACTCTTTGGTTGAATATAGCCTTTGTACGTTCATAATGTTCGCATTCGCATGGTTCACGAAGTAGAGATTCGATGCCATGTGCGGTGGCAGATACCCGAGTCAGTCCACCAGTTGTAGTCAGCGGTACATCGTGAAGCACGTGGCGATGCCCGGCGCTGAAAACGTCGTCCGAAATATTTCTGATCCACATTTTGAGATACCGCATGAGCTTCATCTGTCCAGCGTGTTTGTACGATGATGACCCGCCACTCGATCGTGTTGAGGGCATCTATGAAAATACAATCTTCCTGTGTGTGGATTTGATGAAGGGCAGCATTTGCTTTTTCCTACAAGTAACGAGTGCCTTTTGTGCTTTGCAACGCTAATTGCAGTCTTGCTCTCCCCGGTGGATATTCCATCCTAAATCCTTACTGCCATGTACATTGTTAGATTGAAGGGTGTAGTTTATCTAAAAGCCATACTCTTTGTACGCAATAGATTAGCGATCAGTTGTTCTTCCCTTCTCATTTCAAAATGACGCACTGTGCGTTCACGGGACTAGTGATTCACTTTTCAGTGTTAGTAAAGAAGGTGTCCAGCGATACAGGTTGCACCGGTATGTCTACATGGACCGAAGCTATTTAATTTAACGAGCCAGTGGCAGTAATGCAATCATAGACCTGCAAGTTTGTCGGATTTCGTTGTATGCCTGACACAGCAGCCGTTCTGGGGCATGTGCTAATTATGCGGCCTAGTAAAGTGTCGTTTCTCAGACTGACTGATCACGGTATTAATCAAAATCACGGCCTATTCTCGGTGCAGGTGGATATCTGCAAGAAAGATGCTTTGGAACGTTATTTCCAGTTATTTCGGTGAGTGTCTGCCCTGAGCGTGTTGTTTATTTAAGCTAGATGAACGGATCTAAGATTTGGATAAATTCCACTCTTCTGCGCCATTTTCCACCGTGAGGGGGTTATTGAAGGTTCGGATTGAGGTTTTTTGCATTCCGTTTGAATGAGATACATACATTGAGCTGCATAGTATATTCTAAGGACATCATTGACATCGTCATCTCATCTTCGACCGATGCAACAAATCGTGCACTGAATTTTTTTTGCTTATGATTTATTTTCCGTCTGCAGCTTCGACGCCGTCATCCACTTTGCAGGATTGAAAGCTGTCGGGGAGAGTGTCGCTAAGCCTTTACACTACTATTTCAATAACCTTGTTGGGACTCTTAACCTTCTGGAGTTGATGGCCAATTATGGGTGCAAGAAGGTCTGGATCCATTTTTGTTTTTCAGCGACTTCTATTCGGTTCAATCTATCAACTGTTTCAATCAATTGTTTGCATCTAGTTGTCACATTTGCTACCTGCAAATTGGTTTCTGCCTGAAGGAACGGATTCTATCTAACACGACGCAACTTTTTCTTGTATTTTATATCTTTTGGCAGCTCGTTTTCTCATCTTCTGCAACCGTCTATGGTCAACCAGCATCCGTTCCTTGCACAGAAGATTTTCCTGTTGAAGCGATGAACCCCTATGGCAGAACAAAAGTAAGGTTACTCCGTCGATTTCTGCTCTTTGCGTCTTTTGGATTTGCGAAATAAGGCTGGAGGCACTCATACTGTTCCTTTACAGCTATTCATCGAGGAAATATCTCGTGACCTTCAAAAGGCGGACCCCGATTGGAGAATTATACTGCTTCGCTACTTCAATCCTGTCGGAGCACATCCAAGTGGCTTAATTGGAGAAGATCCGAGGGGTGTTCCCAACAATCTTATGCCATACGTACAGCAAGTAGCTGTTGGTAGACGAACTGAATTGACTGTGTTTGGAAACGATTACAATACCAAGGACGGCACAGGGGTAATTTTTTCTTTCTTATACTGTTCATCTGTTTGACGTCACTAAGCATTTTCAGTATCTGCTCAGTGTTGTGCTTCATACTTCTATCTTAGTGCTTACAACTGTTGTCATTTGAGTTTGGATCTCATATACTGTATACTTTTTTTGTTTGAGACAGGTTAGGGACTTCATCCACGTGCAGGATTTAGCCACTGGTCACAGCGCCGCACTGCAGAAACTTTTTAACTGCAGTGACATAGGTACGCATGTCCATCTGAGCTGTCCAATTTCAGGGCTTTGGATTTTTTTCGAGTGAAAGTAGCCGGGTTTTGTTGCCCTTTATATGAAGTGGAAGAAGAGAATGTACACATGTGAAAGTCCAAAGCAATACCCGTATTCAGCAAAAGGATGGTATGTAGTTTCGCTGATAAGTAACGTTCCATACGATGTCAATGCTTTCCTGGGAGGATTTAAATTCTTCATCTGCCCAGGCCATACCATGTAGAGGCTCAACACTAGAAAATTATGTGTATCGACTTCTGCCTGCCTTCTCTTGAAATGGTCCATTTAAGTGAAACTATAACATGGTACCGAGTATACACTAGTTGGAAAGTAATCAACACTTTACAACACTAAGCAAAAGACTTGCATCTTGGTACCACGTCTTCCTTGTCTGTGCTCAAGCGTGCCGGGTCTTGATTCGGATCATCATTCATTTTCTCGTGGGCTTCCAGGTTGTACTGCTTATAATCTGGGCACAGGTCGTGGAACATCAGTGTTTGAAATGGTAGCTGCTTTCGAAAGAGCATGTGGGAAGGTAAAGTGAATGAAGGAGCTGGAGTTTTGGTGCATGGGCATGTATGAACGCGGCCCAGGATTTGTTGCTGCTATGTTTTCCTCCGAAGTGTGTGTCATTTGGTCGAGTTCAATTGAATGCTAGAGCTATTTTGATAGAACTTTCAAGACCATGTGATTGAGCCACTCTATGTCCTTACAGAAAATACCTCTTCGGATTGCTGATCGGCGACCGGGAGACGCCAGTGAGGTGTATGCTGCCACGGAGAAGGCTGAAACAGAGCTTGGCTGGAAGTAAGCACTTCAAACTTTGTCGACGCTTGCTGTCCGAGTCACAGATTGCAAGTATCAGAAAGCAGAAGTCCTCTGTATCTTCGCGGAACTTATTGTCAAACGTTTTCCTTTGTGCAGAGCTCAAAATGGAATAGATGAGATGTGTCGCGACCAATGGAACTGGGCCAGTAAAAATCCGTGGGGATATAGACCTGCACACTCCGATGGTACTGACAGTGAGCAGTCTTGCAGTCCGAGGGTATCACATAGCGTGGTGCGTGGGAAAGCTGTCACAACATAGTTTTGACTTGTTGGTTGAGTCCTCCTAGTGTACTCTAATTTCTCCTTTTATGGTTCTTGCTTGACCACATTGGGTCAAGTGATGGAGGTAGTCATAATCCGGTTCCTTCCGCCTATGCAGTGAGACAGGCTGTTAAAGAACCTCTTTATAGCAAAGCTTATGGCGCAATTGCCCATGTAGATGTGGTGGCACATGGCACATCCGAGGTGCGTCACCGTGGATGCAATATTATGCCTATGCCCATGTGTAGATGGTATGAGCACTTTTACACCCATTGTGTTTTGGAGGAGCTCATCCAGTTAACCATCGAGCTATATTTTGCCCGGGAAAAGTTGGTAGATAGAAAGAGAGGTAGGTAAAGAGGTAAGGTAGAGCAGACAGAACTGCTGCACATGTGTTCTCTGTAACAAGGTGCACTGTGATTTATTCACTGTACAGCATAAAACCCTCTTGTTCCTCCGGAGCCCAGGTGGGAAATGCATAGAGCTTCACACAGCAGAGTGTATGGAAATGGAAACTTGCTCGGATTGGAGCGGAAATTTAAATAAGTTAAATTATCCCATGAACCGCTGCTTCCTCTTTATGGGACTGATGGGTTCTTGTAGGGAGATCTGAAATTTTAGACTTGACCATCCGTTAGCAGCAGACCTTGGTGGTCAAGGGATGCCCAGTCAAGGGATCCTCGTAGGATCTCCTTCGTCCACATGTTATTTAATATCTTGTGCTCGCGCTAAGCAGACTTCAGCATGGGCAAGATACCCCAGGTATTCAGGCAGGTTTAGGTCGGACCCAATATTTCTTGCAAGAACTAGAGGCCGATGGTCTAGCTTGAAGATGTCCATCTCAATGGATTGTATTATCTTCATAGCAGTCTGTATGCTCTGAGTTACACTTCAGGTTTAGGATACTTAGTGAGTTTATAGTGCCACCTGTTTCTTCATTTTAATTTATTTCTGTTTTCAGTAATTTCCGTCCTTACGTTTTCGGAAACAGTGAAGGTCCGATTATCCGTCGAAGGTCGTTTGAGATTTCGACGAGTATTGAACTTGTACCGTGTACAGCATTCGGTCAATGAACTGGATTTATCGGCCCAATATATTTTATGTTGCTGAAAGCGTTTTGAATCTTTGTTATGGCCTGGTGTTTTATCATCTTACTTCATCACGCAGATATCCTCCTTTTAACGAGGTAATTGACGGATTAGAGATATATTCACAACGAGTGTTTATGGCTGGCGGGTACACTGCTTGCAATTTGGTAATGTCATCCTTCCGATCAAGAATGATGTTTCTACGTCTGTTGGAAAGTCTGTGAATTTCTTAGAAGAAATGACGTTGTGTCGTTTTGAATAATGGAAATGAAAAACTCGTAGCACATCGGATCCGAAAGGTGTTTCGTAACACTTCAGTCCTACGAAAAAAGTGGAAAAGAGGAAAGTGGGTTTCTTTTTCAGGACGGTTAATTTATTTTGAGAGCTGGTTGTGTAAACCAAGTTACTTTCCACGAGGATTAGATTCTGGAACGAAGTTGTGGGGACGTATACACTTAACTCTGACGAGGTATAAACATGATGTGCGTCTCATACCAGAAACTAACTTGCAGAGTCTAAGTGTAAATATTTTCTCGAAAATTTTAAATACGTCAAAATTTTACTTTACAGTAACCCCAGCCAAGCCGCTGTATTATTTAGGATCATGTCATGATGGGTGCCTCACTGGTAATCTCTAGCATCAATATCATGGAGCAAAGCTGAAATCTAACGGGAAGTGTTTTCTTATTCTATTCATGTGATACTATTAATGTATATGTTCACTCTGTATTGGACAAACAATCGTGTAGTTAGTTAACTTAAACACCTAGTCAGTATATACCACTGTAGCGTACTCTGATCAGGGATGATTTTCGTCAAAAGGACATGACAATTTTTTATCAATTAACACTCCTTCAAATGACAGGTAAGCGTAGAAAACTAATTTTATTTGGAGCAAAGATAGAAGGTTTGAGTATCGTGACTTAAGACGGGGATGCCAAGGCAGTACGAGAATCATATATGATTCTCCCTTCACTTCGTGGAGTGAGTTTGATTTTGGTTGGTGGAAAGTGTTGCACCCAAGCTGGAAGGGGTATCCAGTAGATGTATAGAAAATGGAGGAACCGACTTCATGTTGGTTATGGCACATGTTGACTCAGTCAAATTAGCAAGCATGAAGTAGTTAATTGTTGTTGTTAGAGATAGTTCAAACCGAGCCGCAAGTCGTCCTATGCATTGCCGTCAGTTGGTCGACCTCGAATAGGATGAGTTTGTTTTGCTGATTAACGTGCATTGTGTAGCTGGAAGCGCAGTAAGAGTCGCTTGAATGGCAAGACATTTCCACCATCCATGGGCTAGATCTTGGACGTGGTATCTGGGGGGATGTAAGCAACTTCCGGAGTAACATAGTCGTTTAAAATGTGTAAGGCTTGTGCGCATGGCCGATGGAAAAATATGGCAACTTGCAGGTTCTATCGGCATATGTTGTGAATGCGATGACGATCCTCATCTTTCCTTTTCGGATCCTCGTCCGATGGTTTTATATTGAGTAACGGTCCATAATGTACAATGTCCCACAAGTTATAGCTTGCAATGTGCGCGCTCAGAGCAGGCGCACCAGCTTGATCAGCTCAGCATGCCTGCCTATGATGATCTTGAGCTTGTGGCAGCAAAGAAACTTCTCAGACCAGCCATTCGAACCTTCGAATCTGACTCGGGAAATCGCATGCATCTATGCATAGCGTGACCGTTATTGATATGTTTTGATTCAACATGTATCTCTAGAATGATAGAATTCAAATCTAGCAACAAGTAAGTAGCAATAAATTCATCTTCATAAGGTAATTATATCACACTTTTGACATCTGTTTTGAAGTGTAAGATTTTTTTAATGTACCTTTAACTAAAAAGCTAAGAACATGTTTTTGAATATATACCTAATTCACTATTAAATATGTACAAATCTTGATTTTTATTCCACATTATATGTTAAATGTTTAGTTTTATGATCTATTAAATAGTTTTATCATCTTAGATTTTAATTTTTGATCCTAACTATTGAAATTTTTCATTCTTCATATTGACGTGAAGTTTTTCGTTTATCATCTCCAACATTTTTAGATCCAAACAAACTACACAATTGCTCATAGATTTATAACTCTTATTTTTATTAAAAAAGTTTCAAACATCAATTTTTAAACCTTCAACACTACAAAAGAAGCTTGAATTACTTTCAGTTTAAATTGCTAAACTGTAAGTAGTGATAATTTCACTTTGTAAATTTTTAGCAGTAATCTTGCCTTAAAAATGCAAATTTGAATTAAAATTAAAAGATACATTTTAAACAGACTTTATTTTTGAATCTTTAGCACGCCATTCGATAAATCGATGATTTGAGAATTTCACAATAATCATATTAAATAAATAATTCATCCAAACTCATTTGATAAGTTCAAATGTGTTTTGATAAAAGCTTCAGATTTGTTTTGAAGCTCTAAAAAATCTGAAATATCTCAACTATTTTTACCATAATTATTCTAATTTATTTTTTCTTTGTCAACACTTTCGTCAAAAAACATTGCACATCATCATAGCATAATAAAATCAATTACAGTTAAGTCAAATTGATTGTATTTTTCAAACTTTAGGTTTCTATACTAGTTACTGTAGATTATAGATTACACTTTACGACTCAACTTCAAACACTTCAGTCTCAAAAGATCAAATGCAAACTCCAATCATGATTCTTAGATACTCTATCAACGCTGAAGACTTTAATTGCAATTTCAGTGTAAAATATGCTTAATGCACAATTTACTCTAGCTGATTCGATATCGATGCATATGAAAATCTAACTCTACAAAACCTGCTACATTATTCATGAAATTCATAATGTATAGAGTCAGAATACATGAAAATTGTAAGATATGCATGCAAGCAAGCAAAATTGAAACAAGTGTAAGCATTGTTTGATGTAATTTATTGATTTCTATGGTAAAACTATTTATACAACAATGATGTTTTTGAGGTGCATTACTTATTTTTTGTAAATTTTTTATCTAATAAATTTCTAACATGCCCTTTACATATGTTTAAAAGTATTGATATTCTTACGGAAATTTTTTTAAATGAAGTAAATTTGACTTCACAAACATAACATTGTGTAAATATTTATGAGCTTCATAGATTCATCAAATTTATAAAATCTATTAAATTTCATAAATTGTGAAGATTTTTAGATTAGATTAGATAAGATTCAATTATTTTTAAATACTTTGAATCAAATATTAATAACTTATTCATATTTTCATATATAAAACTAATTTTATCATCAAAAAATTTAGTATATTGCATTGGATTTTATATATATAACATTAACTTGATTGAAAAAATCAAATTCAACATTAGTTACTTTAGTGTTGAAATTATGCATGTTGATTATTTTATCATATATTCCAGAGTAAATTATTTGATGGGATCCAACAAGTTTTATTTTGGCAACAGGCGTGGATGGGGTCCCATCTACGCCTGCAGCCCCACCGTCAGTGATGTTCCAGTACTATCTGGGGTTATTTTGAGTAGAACATGAAGTCACGGCAAGACCATATCTAAAGTAATTGAGACTCATGGTGCCCGTCGTTTTCTTAGATATGGTTGCGAACTAGTCGCCAAAATACTCTGGCCCGAACAGTGACGGACACTCCCGACTCTATAGAGCAAATAAGTAGATTATAATAACATTGCTTACGGTGGCCGTCTAATGGGGTCCCCTCGGGTAAAATGAAACCTGATGGGTCCTTCAACAAGAAGATTGAGTTTCCAAGGGGTGCCATCAAGTAATTTCCTCTATATTTCATTTACATTGATATTGTTAAGAGATATTGGTTCTCGATATAAAGTTTTCACAAATTGCATAAGTCTTCTTGTCACAATCCCTCAAACTATGGTACAGATTCTAACCACTATGACAAACTTCAGGTTAATCATAAACAAACTTTGGCAACACCCGGATAATACACGATATCCTGGCTTTGTACACAAGAATAAGCATCCAGATTCCTCGAATAGGAGAACATGTCATGACCATGTTGATTTCTATATTTGCCTATAGCTAAATTTCTTGCTTCTATATGCAATCTTACTTTTACCTCTAAAAAGAAGATCAAAATAATAAGTAGAATAAGTACGGCAACAACATACTGTTTCCAATAGGGAAAATATAAAGATTTCGATCAGTTATATGAACAAAGAGTTACAGCTTTGATAAGAAGTAGAGTAAAAAGAAGAGAGAATACCAAGAGCATGTACACCGGATACGAAAATTCAGTCTAGCGGGATGTTTCTCACATGGGGCTCTTCTGTGTCCTGCTGATCTGTTGCGCTGACATCAGTCTTGGCCATGTGACCATTGAAACGAATGGCTGCGATATAAAACCATATGAGTTGGACAGTGATGTAGGAGAGTGATTTTTCACATCTTCACAATCTCTGCAGATTAGTTTAACTTCACCGACAAGTATTATGCAAAAATGGTTGAATGTGTGACACTGGAAGTAAAGAAGATCATAAGCAACTCACCTATAAAACAACACAGAGGAGACCAGAGATCTCCAACCCCGTTGGCAGAAGGAGAGGGTTAACGAGGTCATTTTCGAGACTAATTACAATCCCTCCCAGACGAGCAGAAATATCTCCCGCTGGCAAGCAAGTGCAAAGAGGTGGTTCCCAACGAGCATCAAACCTTGATCATGGCAGAGAGTCTGATGCACAGTACAACACAACATGTTACAATATTTCAAAATTTTCTGCAATTTAGTGAGTTGAAAATAAGCCTTTGATGATGAAAGGTCAAGTGAAGGTCTTGTGGGTGGGAAGAGACATAAATTTTGGACTCCATAATGTGTTGGGCAGAGCTTGATGTTTGAACTTAACAAGCTTGCTAAAATCCTACTCATCATGTCTTTGTCCAAAGTGAGGTGAGATGACATGGCTGACTACATAGATGGACGAGCACTTCCGGTTCATCGGCAAGACCCGGTCAAGCGTTGATGGAACCAGAAGGGCTTAACATCATTAACATCGGAATGGGAAATAAGTCATGATATAACCAATGTATCGCAAGCAATTAGATCAGCCTTTATACATGCTACAAGAATCATCAACGCGATTGCTTTGCTCCACAAAGTTATTTCGATCCACAACTAGAATTATTGTCAACCGCGTGAGGATTTGATACCTTCGTTTACTAGTAGAGACCTAACGAGGTGAATCAATAAGATTCCTCACTCTTTCTTGCTACATGTACAGATACATATGTGTCTACGTATCTGCTTCCTGTCCGTAGTCCGATGTGGTCTGATGTAGAATGCTCGAGGTACCGTATGGTTCTGTTGTGTCACTTGTGCCAAATCAAGGGCGTAGTTATTCAGCAGTCTGAGGTCGTTCACTGATGTGTAATTTAAAGACCAACCTGTTTCTTAGCAGATAACCAGAGAACATGGAAATTAGAGGTATTGAAATTGCGGGTTCGCAGGCCGTGGACAGTTTCGGAGTGGGTGGGTTTCTCTTCTTCGTTCGAGACTATCATTCATTGCAAGCATATATCGGGAACGAATCCTGCCGTTGTGGTCTTGTTGCGTAGCCTGACTACAGGTGCCCCGCCCAACCACGATATCACGACGCATCTCTGCCTGCCTGGGTGGGGTGCCTGGGAAAGTTGAATCAACTATGCTGAGAGATTTTCAGTGGAGGGCAATCCAGGACTTCGAGCGAGCAGGGATGCCGAAGGAAACTGTGCTGCGAGTCTGCAGATACTGTAAGTTCTGTCAACTGCAATGCACGGTTGTTTCTATGTTGATGAATGGGAGAGGACCTCACTCGTGGAGTCTGTCTGTCTGTCTGCTGACAAACCCAAGAATTACCGCCCTGCGAAAGTCGCTTCTCCGATTGAGTTCCTGCCGGTTTTCCAATGGCGAACAGATACATCATCAGACGGAACTGAAGGGTCAGGTCTTACGGTACCAGCAGCAGAGAATAACCACCCACACAATTTTGGTGTTTCCATCTGCTACATAAAGAAGTGACAGAAGCGAGGGGGACACCGCTACAAAACTAGCTCGATGTGCGATATCTCACACAGGGCCAGAAGAGCAGAGTATCAGTTACCGCAGTGTAAGAGCGGGAGAGTTCAAAACGCCGCACGATTCTCGCTGAATCTGAATATTGACCACTTTGGTGAATCACCCGACGTGAGCGAGAACGAAGATCGATGTAGGAACACTGTGGACGGACTGGTTCAGATTTGCTCTGCGCGTCCGGCGTTTCAGCAGTTTCTTTACTGAGAGTTTGTGTCGTTTTGTTGTGTGCAGGACGAGGCTCGGATGACGGGTTGAAGCTTCGGCGAATCAGTGGTTCAAAGACCATGAACCAGAAGATTCAGGATGTTCTCGACCCTAAGTTTGAAAACGTCGAAGTAATCTATGCTGCCGTCAAGAGGAGGCAGGCAGGAATCATCAAGGCATTGACGATGGAGTCGGACGAACTCTTTCGACAATGTGACCCAGAGACGGACAACTTGTGCTTGTACGGGCTACCGGATGGAGGATGGAAAGTTGCACTTCCAGCACAAGATGTTCCTACAGAACTTCCAGAACCTGCCCTAGGGATAAATTTTGCCAGGGACGGAATGTCACGCCAAGATTGGTTGACTCTAATTGCCCTACACAGTGATGCTTGGCTCCTCGCGATAGCGTCCTTTTACGGCGCTGAGCTCACCAGAAACGAAAGAAAACGGCTTCTCGTCATGCTTGGCGACTCACCCACGTCCTACGATATAGTCACTGGCAAGAACGTCGACGATTCTCTTGACTACAGCAGAGTTCATCACATCAAGGCCATCGACGCTTGCAGTCTTCCCATGATCACGGGCGGGTCCAAGGACGAAATTCGAGTAAAGCAAGTGATCACGGACGAGAATGACAGAGGCAGAATGATCTCGAATCATACGTTCTTGGCGCCAAAAGCGGTGACCAACCCCGCAACTCCACACAAACAATGGGAGCAAGTGCTGCCGGCAATTCCTCGATCTGTCGAAAATTGTAGGAATCAATTCGCGGAGCCAGCAAAAGTAGTGTCTGAAGCTCCCTGCGTGCCGGAGATGGCTCAGTCCATTCACATGAACGCAACTGCTGCAGTCGATGATTTGTCAGTGCCCCAGGCAGATCCCGAGGTGCCGGAGGCCAGCGGCTCTGCACCTCGCGAGAGAGAGAGGCCCCCTGCCCGCCTCCGGACCAAGAGGCAAACGAAGCCAAGAAACACGTTCGCTTTGGATTTCCTCGACACCGTGGACTTCTCGTCAGACGACGACGACGGCGACGACCGTGACGGCACCGTCTGCGAAATCTGTCGAGCCGGGAACGTTGGCGACAGCGTGACCCACTGGGTGGCATGCGATTGCTGCGAGAAGTGGTTCCACTGCAAGTGCGTCAAAATCACGCCGGCCAAAGCGCAGCATCTGAAGCTCTACAAGTGCCCGACGTGCGCCAGCAAGAAGGCTCCCTTTCAGCTGTTTTGAATCTGAGTCCGGGACCACACCGGTCACACCGGTCGGACCGAATCACGCACGGTACGGTACAGACGAGGACGGGTGACAACGCCTGCTCCGCCCGCGCGTACCTTTCTCTTTGTCGATGCGACAAGCACGTCTGCGACTGCAATCACGGTAGACGTACAGACGGAGCCCTCTGTCAGAAGCGGTCGAGGCGAACGAGAATCGTAGATTCTGAAGAAACCTCAGAATGAAGACGCAAGCTTGTACACGTCAGCGCATCTGATGCCTTCCTTGGATTCTTCCCGTGTCGCTGCGCTTACTGCAGTTGGAGGACAAGCGCGCGCTTGATCTTCGTAGACCATGTGTATCGTCTTACTGCGCAAGGTATCGTAGACGTAGAAGACGTGGGGTCGGAATACTGTACATGGACGAAAGGCAAGGTTGTCTCGTTTGGTCGTGGTCGACTTTCCTGAAGCTAGGATGAAACGCCGGCGGATGCTGAACATAGTGGACGATTTTATTGCACAGTTCATGTTGGAATGTGACACGACGTTCGTATTATGTCTATACGTAGTTAGAAACGTGGATTGTTCTTGAGTAACCTACTTAGTAGATTCGAACGAGATATTGACCGGTCCTCGACTATGCAGCGAAGTCTCGCAACACCCTCTTTTATGGAGATGTGTGTTCCTTCTCTAAAATCGCTGACTGTGGTATGTTCATACGAATTGCTTTTACCTAGAAATTATACCTCAAAAACTGAGGGGTAGCAAATACAACAAAGATGGGAGTCATACATTTGGAGTTGATGGCTGTTCGGAATTGATCTGCAAAACTTCAAAGCTAATTGATCTACCGATCTACTTGAGCGTATGATATAATTGTGTATACACAGATGGATTCAAATCCAAAATATCCTGATTGAGTTTGTTCAGGGAATGATTTTCAGGAAAGTGCAACTCATGAACAGAATTTTTATAATTATTGCAAAACACAAGTACCCTGGGCATAAAATACTGCACTTCCCACTACTGGATATTTACGATAATACATGCACATTATTCTGTCAATTATATTTCAGAGTTGGCCAGAAGTCACCCTGATTCTCCGATGGTTATTCAGATGAAATTTTCTATCCAAGGAATTGCAATTAGTACTCAAACAAGCAAGTGTCCTTTAACTCTCTTGTAGTGTTATCCAACAAACCCGTCACTTATATCAAAATGACATCAAGGATTAAAATTTCAAGTTGAATTCATGTATTTGCCCTCTTTTGATTGAAAATCTATTTCATTGATAAACACGATGGCTTAATTGCAAAACTTATTTGAGTTCAAATAAGGAGATTAGAGATTTTGAAAGTTAATTTTAAATACTTAAAGTAATCCCATGGATTCAGATATAGAAGGTGAGATGGGGACAATTTGGGATGGCTTCTTAGAAACTTTAATTCACTTCTGTTCGACTTGGTCAAGATTTCAAATTACTTGGAATCTAATGCTATTAAAAGATGTCTAAAGAGTATCAGGATTTAAAAACAAGGCTTGGTCATGCGCAAATCGAAACGAAAGAATTTTCTTTAGACTACGAAGAATATGTAACGATGTATGAGATTATTTTTTCAAAGCAAAATCAAGATCAATTCGACACATAGCACAAACATTTTACTTGTGAGCTACACATTAAATCTTTAATAATGAAGAATAAAACGTGTGAGAAATCTAGAAACCTACTATCACACTTGAACATTGAACACGATGAATATAAAATTAAGAGAATAAAATAAATCAACCCATTCTATAAGCTGCTTATGACTTGAGACAATGCTTATGCAACTATACTCAAATAATATAGAAAAGAGGTGGTTTATATATTAATCACTAAACTACTGAAATCATCAAAGTGCCACAAAAGTAATAATCATGTGGCCTGGAAAAAGTAATCTAAGAAGTTTTGTTCGATAAAAAAGACGTTAGATTTCTAAACCTCTGCTTTGCAAAATAAAACATGATTCGTTAAAAAATGTTGTCGTGTAATGAATATTCGTTTTGGCATTGAATCTGCCTGTCAGCTTATATTCTAGTCAAGTGGTTGGATTATGTGCTCGATATGTTTCTGTGTTGCATGTAGGCAGACTTTGCAATGTCATTTATGCACGTGAGTATATTAATCAAACGTGTTCGTAAATACTCATGCAATTTAAGAAACCTTGAGCGACTGAAATAGCACGTGTTAGAGCACACATTCAAGGGGGCCGAAGAGTAAGTACCCGGGATGTACAACGACAAGGGCCCTACCCATGGCATACAGCGATGCATTGTAAGTGACAGAAGAGAAGCGTGGCTTAAAATCCTGCTGAAAATATTGACGATATCAATGGACTACATTCACAAAGAATCCAAACCAGAAATCTCCGTCTGAGTTGCGAAAAATCGGAAGCAGGCAGTCCGAATCCATGGGAGCAAATGCACACATAAGAGACAACAACGAAACCTGGTCAAAACAAAGTGGAAACGCACATACTGCACAAAGTGCAGTATTGTTCCTCACATCCAAAGCTAGAAAAGGAACATTGGACCATCGACAAAATCCTACCCGACGGGCACCACTACATGGTCGCATAATCCCGGCTGCTTCATCACTGCGCATAGGCGTGTCAAGCTTGCTGCACTGGACTGGGCGAGGGGTGGAAAAAAACTCAAGAGCCAACAGACCGTGGAGGATTCCATTGCTGTTTCCAAAAAATAATGCAGAGGTTTCTTAGCACACTGTTAGGAAAAGATGGATCCAAAACATCGAGAATGAGTCTTTAAAGAGCGCCCTCAGTAACTTTACGCAAACAACCTCTCACGAAAAGACTGTAATCTGGTGGAACTCGCTGAGTCCACAACATTCAACTGCCTTGCATTGTCCAAATAGGATTCAACATTTGAAGCCTGTAAAATTTACTTCCCACAAAAGGGTAAGTTACCTCACTAACCCTGTAAAAGCTCGAGATAGTCAAAGCTCGATAGTAGATGTAAGCTTTTGTTTTTTAGCTTTAGTTGCACTACTTCTCAGCCCTAAATTGTTGCCGAAAAGAGTGACTTTTATATTCTCCATCTCTAATCTGAAAATTGATCCAACCTTCGGAATAACTGCGACCATCATCAGAAGAGAATGATCAGGAACGAGAGAGGACCACTAGAGGATACAAACAATGAACAGATTGCTAATCTACACAGAAGTTTTGAATCAGAAAGCAGGAATTTCAACAGTCATAGAATTTAGAACTTCAAGGACTACCGGTAAAATGCCAAAGCTTCCTTACCTCTAAACTTGTTATTCATGGTCACGATTCCAAAGGTGTTCTCTGTCTCCCTCACCATAACGCCTCGGGTACCAGCGAACGAGGAGTTTTTGCTATCCACAACTGAACGAGACATGTGTACTGTTAATACAGCGAAGAAAATATGGAACGCCAATGCTGCAGTCCAGTGCTGCTGTGTGAAGATCTCGATTTCAACAGTCCAAGAAGCATGCATCCTAGCCCACGCATGAACGTGGAGTATCTGATACTTCTAGGACTGATGAATGTTTACTGACCCGAAAGGACTGCCCCGTGAAGATCGGCTGTCAACAGGCGTGTCTGCATCATCGTCTCGCTGAAATATATGCAATTTGATCAGAGAGACAGATATCCATTGCTTTAATAATCTGGTGTAAAATGGCAGATAAGCATACACCGCAAGACCTGATATGGATGGCAGACCAATTATCCTTGGCTTTTATTTCGAAGTGAACAACCACACCGAGTGACTGGAATTTGTTACAAGCCAACCATAAATCTCCGATCTGAAAGACGGGGGCCTTGAATACATCATCGACGCTGGAAATTAGTGTTTGGCCCTTACGGACATCAAACGATTTACTAAAACAACAATACTTTTGTTAGTCAATGTTGTCTTCGTGAAACATGTGGTCTTTGCCTTTAATGATTGGTGCGCAATTTTCGTACGGAAAATACATTCACGAGCTCACAATAGACCAGATAGTCTAACTTTTGTGCGAACCTGCAATCTGAGAGCAAATCTTTAGCGTAGGTAGTCCACATCTCTTGCAATGGTTGAAATAGCTGATATCTGTTTCACAAATACCACCCAGAGAAAACGAAGGACACGTCAGAAAGGGAAGATCATTGATTCTAATACAACTTTGTATGCATATACATCAGCACCAGTAGTCTCGGCGATAATCCCCTATATGCACCATCCAGAAGAGAGGATATAAATGTATACAAGATATACGCATCTTCAGGTAGGCATCAACACGACGAGCCGCAGTTTCCTCGTTGACCACTATGCTTTTGAATGTGCACCCTGCCTTCATATGGTTTCACGAACAACAACTGCTTCCTAGTATCAGTCAAGAATTCGCGATATCTTTTATGACATTGAAAATCTGCCTTCCAGATACATCCCTCGGTTAAATGGTACATGATTATGGAGAAGGTTTTAATTTCGATGCATGCTTGTCTTCTTCAGACCTTTTCACTAGCAGCCTCTAAGGACCCGTTGTTATAGTTCAATGATCATTAAGTCAACAGCGCTACTCACCAATAATGCATAGAAATAATCGTCATATGTGAGTATCGATTTATCGAAATTTCATAGAGTGAGTTCAGTGTATAGTGCACGGTAGTGTATTATATAAGAAACCAGTCGGCGACATTTGCCGACGATAAATGACCGACATATTCGCCCATCTCCAATTCGTGTCAATCGGAAAGCTAAATGCTAAATACCCAAGATTCCTAAGGAGTTTCTAGATGATGGGACCGCAAATAGAAAAAGCGAAGGTAAGTTCATAAAATAAAATAAAAAAACAAGACTTCAATTTGACTGCTGAAATAATTCATGTTTTCTAAGCCTGCGGCTTCCTTTCAGTGCCAGGAACGAAGAACAGAGTTACTGAGTTCATAGCACCCATCACATGCGCGATGACGATCACTTACTCTCGAAACTCTTGAGGCAGACCATAGGAGCCACACTTTCGATGCTGGCGCAAGGACATATGTTCTCTTGAACGCTTGGCCCTATTTCGATGAACACGATCTCGTGCCTTTTCTGATGCTGGAACTACTTGATTTGTCGGGTTGTCAAGCAACAATACTTGGTTTTCCTGCACACGACTCTCAAGTGTTTCTTCGACATCTTGAAACTTTGAGCTGCCCTCCAACAGAATCTTCAAGAAGTCGTGTATGGCCGCATGGGAATCCTTTCCTCTCTTGTGCTGCACAACATATGAAAGATCAAGACTCCTATCATTATTGCACCAAGAAATCCTCATCTTTATCCTTCCCTTGGCTGTCATGTCTGATAATGCTCTCGTCCAAGCATTGCTGGCTGACTTCTTCAAACTTGAAACATGGACGGATACAAGAGCTAAAAAAGGGTGAGTTGAAAGTGAAGTCCAAGCAACAAATAATAGGAACAGCGCCAGAGGAGACTGAGTCTACGTTTTGTAAAGACTTCCCCGACAGGAGAAAATCATGATTGGGCACACTAGAAGATGAAAAAGAAAATTTCTTACCTTCAAGAGAGAAGATAAGGGACCATCAACCACAGATGGACACAGCTGCGCGTACGTTTTCTCTCGCTCTATGATTTCTGAATGATCAAGCAGAAGTCACCACGAATCAGCTGCGATAGCTTCTGTGAAGGCTAGTGAAAATCGTTCTGGTAAGGTACTAGATCAGATGGAATCCAGTAGAGTCGATTCAGGGTATCAAGGATAATGACTGACTTCCCATCTGACGCAGGAATTGAACAGTTCATTCATAATACTGAATGAGGACATTGAAATCCCTCTGGTCCACATAACAAATGAAGCAAAACGAGGATGTAGGACCCAACAACTGGCTAGCCCTAAAGAAGAGGCATGTAAAATCCCTTCTATTTTACGAGGACAAGGGCATTATATGGCAAAGAACTGAAGACAAGCAAAGCCAGATCTAGTCTTCATGTATAACTCACGAGGACTCTCCTATCATCCAATATTGTCAAAATACAAATTCAAACAGCCGCAGTGCAATGGCGGCATTGCTTCATATTTAAAAAGAGAAGAAATTCACCAGCTTGAGATCTTGCGGGTGCTGGGTAAACAAATGTTGAGGGAGAAGCATTCGAAGTTGCGGTCTTTTTAGAAGCAGTTGGAAGCTGATCTTGAGGGGTTGAGGGTGTTGCTGTCAGTCTGCGCTCTAACGCTTCTAATCTACCTTTCTTTTTCTCCGACGTCGCCATCGCTACACAGGTAACACAGAATCAACAGCTTCAAAGGAGAACACTCAGCCATTAAACAAATGTCTCTTGTAGCACTCTTTCTCTGAGGCTAGAAGGCAACAGCAATTCCTGCAGTACTGAACATCAAAAGATTTCCATAGCAGTCTCCTGAATGCAGCTTAAGACAAAATACATACATGGTTCCTTCTCTTAGAACGTGTCTGAATTTAAACTCCCCATTGGGCTCGTTACTCTGCTCTGTGTGAGATATCGCACATCGAGCTAGTTTTGTAGCGGTGTCCCACTCGGTTCTGTCACTTCTTCTCCTAGCATACGGAAACATCACAATTGGGTGAGTAATTATTCTCCGCTGCTGGTACCATAAGACCCAACCCTTGAGTTCCGTCGGATGATGTATATGTTCGCCATTGGAAAACCGGCGGGAACTCAAGCGGGGAAGCAACATTCGATAATTCTTGGGTTTGTCAGCAGGCAGACAAACAGACTTCACGAGTGAGACCCTCTCTCCTGTTCATCAATATTGAGACAACCGTGCATTGCAGTTGACAGAACTTACAGTATCTCCAGACTCGCAGAACAGTTTCCTTCGGCATCCCTGCTCGCTCAAAGTCCTGGATTGCCCTCCAGAGGAAATTTCTCAGCAGAGTTGATTCAGCTTTCCAAGGCACCCAGGCAGGCAGAGAGATGCGTCGTGATACCGTCGTTGGGCAGGGCACCTGCAGCCAGGCTACGCAACAAAAGCACAACGATACAATTTGTTCCCGATATATGCTTGAATGTGATATTCTGGAACGAAGAAGAGAAACCCATCACTCCGAGATTGTCCACGGCCTGCGAACCCGCAAATTCAATACCTCGCTTTGAATCTCTGCTACAATCCTCTAATTTCCATGTTCTCTGGTTATCTGCGAGGAAGCAGGTCGATCTTCATATTATACATTTGAATACGACCTCAGACTGCTGAGTAACTACGCTCATGATTTGGCACAAGTGACACAAAATAACCTTACGGTACCTCGAGCATTCTACATCAGACTACATCGGACTACGGACAGGAAGCAGATACGTAGACACAGATGTAATTGTACATGTAGCAAGAAAGAGTGAGGAATCCCATTATTCATTTTGTTATGTCTCTACTAATGAACAAAGATATCAAATCCTCACACGTTGGACATCATTCATCTCTAGCTCTGAATCAAAATAACTTTGTGGAGAAAATCAATCACGTTGATGATTAATGTAGCATGCATAAAGGCTGATCTAAATTGTTAGGACAAATTCGTTATATCATGACTTATTTGCATGGAAGATCCATAGGAAAAGGAAAAATTGCACCCAACAAAAAATTCATGGGCGTGAGGAGATGATCGATAGAGAGAGATAGATAGAGAGATCCCAAGCTAGTGCTGCCGATGTGTGGGATTGGAGGAAGTTGGGTCACTGTGAGGCACAAAGCAGAAGCCACGTCACATGGTTTTGAGGGATTTGTGTTGAATGAGGAGAATAGATATTTGAAGACTCAGAACACGATTGTCTTCTGAGTTTGGTGATAAACAGATCCGGAGGAAATGCGTGTTACGACTTGTAGGTACATGTTAGTCCAATCGCTATGTATGCAAAGTACCAACCATGGTTTCACAATGTAATTTTGGATATATTCTTGTCATGTATGGTACTATTAGTTGTATAATCTAAACTTCATATTATTATCAGGCGGGTTTTTAGGTTCTTTGTTCTTATGTTCTGAAAGGTGTAATAGTGCGGACAACCTAATTGAACATGGTCAACGTGCAATAAAATGTATATTCCATCCGTAGTTTGAGAAGAAATATGACATCGCCGAACTTACCTTATAAGTTACACGCTTCTTTGGAGGTTCAATAAACTCCAAACAGAGGACTATCAGGGGAAACGAACGTTAATAAGACTACTGCTGATGCTCAGCATTACTCTGATTACCAACGAATACTGTAAAGCAACTACCATAAATTCAACCATTATTGAGTCCAATCTCAAAGAAGATCCCAAGAAAAGTGCAATAGAAAAAATCCTGGTTCTTGAGAAACTAAAAACACAACTGAATTAAATTATGCAACTTATGATCTGGAATATCTCCAAAACTATATGATGAAACATATAGTTGGAATAAATCGTCATCGGAATGATGGTTACACGCGTTTTCTGGCTATCTAACATTGCTTCCCACCAGACCGAATGTCTTCTCAAGAGTGTTATTCTCATCTATTCGGAACAAAATGATCTCCAGAACGTTATGATGAAACCCTGATAGAGAGAGAAAATTACTTGATGTACCCTGATCATTCCCACCACTATTCATTTTACGTGATGGACCTCAACAGCCTTTCAGTCCACCATCACCCATGTTTCAATACGAAATCTTGTAACACCATAATCTAGTAATAACTTACAACAGTAGTAGAAGATAATTACCTACTTAAGAACTTGTCCTTGGACTTGTATTCGAAAGTACACCAACTTCTCGACATGCTAAAATATGCATCCAAAGAAGTTACTCCATCCATGAGTGATTATCAACATATACCCAAATTTGATACTAATATGCTAACAAAACTAGCATGCAATAGCACAGTTGTCGATAAGACATCCATCCGCACATCAATTATTACTTCTCCTCATAGATGGTTCTTACTCATGAGATGAGAATGTTGATTTTAAAAGAGACACTAATCGTGAAAATCTTGTTTCTCATACCACTTTCTACGATTCTTGATGAACCAGAAGAATCACACTAGTTTGAATCGCATATATTCTTGTAAAAACTGGGTTACAAGATTTCATATTGGCACATGGATGACGGTGAACTATAGTATTTTTTAGAGGTCCATTGGATAAAATGAATTGTGTTGGATCACAACAAGAGTTTTGCATTTTGTTAGTATTGTTATGAAATATTTTTTTCTACTTAAGATTTGGCATATCTTGTCATATGCATGGCATGTATTTACTCGACATAAAATGCGTATCCTGGTGATCTAGTGTTTTTTCTACCAATGAGATGTCTTTTGAGGAGTTTCATTCTCATCAATTACTTATCCGCCTCACTTCTCAAAATTCTTCAAAATACTATGACGTTGTTCCGCTTTGAGTTTCACTTTAGTTTGAAAAATATGCAGAAGTCACAAGTGTTTCTCTATCTCTGTGTCAATAATCACAAAGCCATGAAATTTTTTTGCACAAATTTCTTCTTTCCTATGCATCATCCATGTTTAATGTTTCTTGTAGTTGTGATTTTGATCTTATACTTTGTGTGAAGATAATTTTGAAATGCAATTCGGCACCATGACAAAATCATTTTCCTCCATAGATGCTTTTGAGAATAATCATAAATCGCGACACTTGCATGAGCTCATGGTTTCGAACTCCGTAGCCACCGAGTTGAACCAGCCTGCAAGTACTTCTAGCCAAGATATCCATTGACTGAAATAGTGAGATGATGACGTAGTGTGATAGCGCATGTTACTCGCATGTGCGCACAAGCTAGAATAGTCGTATCAAGCTTCAAGTTACACTCGAAGAAAGATCTAATGATAAGGACAACTCCAAATGTGGCTCCTAAATACTTAAGCAGAAAATCTTGTATTATATCAAATCATCACTAGGTGTGTAAAACCATCTACAAATGCTTCACAAGATTTATAAAGCACGTTGATATAAACAAAGCCTCCATGTGATATACTCCATAGAACACAATGCTCTTTGAGAGAATCCTCAAATTGCTGTGGAGCCGATTGTACTCATTGTTGCGACATTAACTTTTGAAAAAATGGAGGGAGAATTTCCATGATAGCATCTTTAGCAAGTGGTTCGGACGCAGAACGTTTACTACGTTGATCGATACCCAGTTTGTTGTGAGTCACAGATAGTATGCTTTACTGAAGAGAAGGCAATATTTAAAGAGCTGCTCATGAACACATGTTGAGTGCAAAATTGCACTCAAATCTAAAATGTATGGCTTGGATGAACGACATGAACTAATCGAAAGGATAAAAGGATAAGGTGAGCATCCTAATACTAATGCTAAAGTTAGCCTCGCTGAGATACTAACAATATCTTACAACACAACCTTTCAAGCGAATCATAGCATTACAATATGTAGGAGATATGTATCCAGTCCTTAAGGACATATCTAGAAATAGAGCCTGCTACAATAGATATTAGATTCTAGCACTTGCTAATGAACTTAACCCAATAGAATCTCTATGCTTTTCAAACTTATGGCGCTGTAGATGCTTTGTGAAAAGGTCTGCTGTATCGTCTTTTGAATGTATGTAATCAAGTCAAATTTCTCCTTCTAAAACTTGTTCTCTCACAAAGCGATGCTTGGTCTCAATATGCTTTGTCTTTGCGTGAAAGATAGAGTTGTGAGCAATTTTTACTACACCTTGATTGTCACAAGAAAAATGTAAATGAGCTGAGGTTGGAGTGTTGGCGTGCTTCAAGTTAGCTTGTATTTCATATTCCTGACATGCAATGGAAATTGAAGCTAGAGGATTGACTTGAAATTCTGTCATTACTCGTCGCATGTAAACGCTCTTCTTAGCTCTCTCGGACAGAGTCTTATACTCAGCTTCTGTTGTACTATCTGAGACGGTAGGTTGCTGCTTCGAGGACCAAGAGATGGGATCATCAGGTTGCTTGAATAAGTAAGAACCAATTGATCGCGAGTGTTGCAACTACTCGGGTAATCAACGTCTAAGAATCCGTGAAGACAAGTTGAACTTTGTTGCTTGTAGACTATACCAAAGTCTTGGATGAAGTTGATGTAACAAAAAATATGATAAACAGATTCCTAGTGGGCTTGTTGAGGTGAATGCATGTATCTACTGACCACATTAATTGCGTAAAATAGATCTGGCCTAGTGTGGCATAGAAAAATCAGTTTTACTACAATATGACATTAAGCCGAAACATTGACGGATGGAGTACCAGTGTCAGCATCAAGTACGTGATTTACTCGGAAAGTCACATACTCAATCATAGTAAAGTCAACTTTGCATTCCTCAAGGAGCTCTGCAGTATATTGTTGGTGATGAAGAAACAAGTTACTTTCAGATGTGCGATAGAATCCACACCAAGATAATGCGAAACTGGGCCAAGATCTTTCATCTTGTACCGATGGTGAAGTTGAGTTTTTATTTCGGCAATTTTGGCAGCATTGTTACCAAGCAGTAGTAAATCATTGACATACAATAGAAGTACATGTTGAAGTACATGTTGGGATCGAATTGACTTCGACTCAAGCCAATAGATCTAAGATGGCTGTCAATTTCTTCATATAATTGTCTCAAGGACTGCTTTAGTTCATAAATTGATCTATTAAGAAACAAACTAGGTCTTCCTTGACTTTGACCTCAAAACCGGAAGCTTGTTTCATGTAAATGAGCTACTCCAATTTTCCATTAAGAAACGCAATAATTAGATCCATCTGATGTAATTTTCACCCAAGTGCTACTGAGAGTGAGATTAACGCACGTAGGGTTGACCAGCGAACAACAGTGCCAAACGTTTGTTACAATCCATGCGAGACTTTTGTACCAAGCCACGCGCAACCAAACAAGCTTTTAAGCGTATAGACATTGGGTTCGATCGAGGTTTGGCCTTAAAGATCCATTTGAGGATAAAGCATGTTTACCTTCTGGGAGTGGCACAAGTTTCCAAGTAAGGTTGGCGATGAGAGAGTTGAACTACTCTTGCTTTGCATACTTCCAAAGTGGATTTTGGAGTGCTTGAGTGACAGTTATTTGATCGTTCATTAGTCTTGTAGTCTCAAATATATTGATGAAGATACGTCATGGTACGTGATAGTTGTCTACAAGAAATTGTGATAGTAGACTTGCTTGTGGAGGATTTTTCTTGGCACCAAGTGAAGTAGACTTGTATGAAGAGAGTCATGCAAAAAACTGACGTTTGTGAAGTTACCAACTTGTGACTCAGGTGTGTACAGCTGGGTCGAGTAAATTGCCATCTGAAGTACCAATCTCCTCTAATGGTAATATCGATTCAGGTAGGTCATCCTTGACATCAAAGCTACTGAAGAGTTCTACAAAATTGTGAACATCCACAAAATTTCCAATAATGTGTTCAAAGAATGTAACATCGTTGGTAGTAACGATGCGGCGAGCTAACAGGTCCAAGCATCTATAAGCTTTAGATTCATCATCGTAGTCAATTAGCACACATCATTTTGACTTAGATTGAAGCTTCGTCTGCTTATCAAAGGTAATGTGCACATATGAAGTGCACCATATTACTCTAGAAAGTGTTAAATCATGTGAAACGCCATATAATCTTTCATATGGCGTAGTTAGATTTAATGCACGGATTGCACAACGATTTAGCATATAGTTAATAGCTCTCAAAGACTTCATCCAAAGATGAGCTGGAAACTTATAAGCATTGAAGATACAACAAGCTG